ATTTCTATCCATCGATTTTCCATACGGTGACACGGAAAACTGTCCCGGTTTGGTGTATTGCCGCACCAGCGCGGGGCTTGCTGCTAATTACGCAATCAAAAGTGATTAGCAGCCAGTCTGTCTGTCCGTCCATCCGTCCGGCTGGCTGGCATTGAGCTCGTGCCACCGGTGATGTCCCCTCTGGGCTGTCCCCAAGCTGGGGACACTGGTGCCGCTGTCCCTGTCCGGCAGCCGGCGGTGCCGAGCCGCCGCGGCCGCTCCCTCCTGGGCTTTATCCCAATTAACGCGTCCGCCTGATTAGAGCGTGGCGTTCGGGGATCATCAGCTCTCTGTGGCCAACGGGAATCTCACCAATTACCGCCCTTGTTTGTCATCATTCCCCTAACGAGCGGAGAGCAGGATGGATTGCACGGAAATCAAACCGAGGGCGGATGAATTCCTCCGTTCCTGGCATCGGGACAAACCTGGGATGGGGACGGGGCTGGGGTCTGGCCGGTGGTGGACACAGAGCTGGGGACCCCCGGCTGAGCCCTGCGCCCCATCCCTGCTCCCGCAGCCGGGGACGGTGCCACCGCGGGGGGAATCTGTCCCATGGGAGCCATTGGGGACTTTGATTTGTGCCTCGCTATGAATGGACTTTGGGCAGGTTGACACTCAGCCCGGTGTGTCATGGCATGGTGACATGGCCACGCTCGATGGGGGCCACCACCACCTCCTTGTGCTGGGTGACCACACACCGCAGCTGGGACTGGAGGTGGCTGGGGACAGCCATGACGAGGGGACCTGCCACGCTCCATCTTCCTCTCCAGCTTCAGACAGCACCGGTCACCATCAGCTGGGGACGGGGATGTCCCCCAGGTGCCACCGCCATGGGACCCACCTTGCCGATGACGTCGTTACGGCTCAGCCGGTCCTTGTCCATGACGGTGATGACGATGGTGGTCTCGCGCAGCCGCTCCGTGGGGATGTCGAAGGCGAAGGACTCGTTGAAGACGGGGTTCAGGCACCGCTTCATGACCACGGTCTTCTTCTTCTCCACCCGCTTGTCCTTGTACATCAGCCACACCTTCACGTAGGGGTCTGGGGGGGGACAGGAGCTGCTCTCAGCCCTGGCGGGGTGTCGGGCAGCAATTCCCGGGGTGGTGGGAGCCGGAGCTCGTACCTGACGTGCCCCCGATGTCCATGGCTTTGAGGTTCCGTGCTTTGATGATGTTCACCACGATGGAGTTGGCGGAGGGGTTGTAGCACAGCGACAGTAGCAGCTCCCCACGGCTCCCCTGTGGGACCCACAGAGGTGGGGGTCCCGAAAACGGGTGACCCTCACCCTGGCACCCAGCCCCAACCAGGCACCCAAAGGCCCCCCGCGTCCCACCACCGGGCTGGGACCCCCCTGCGCTGTCCCAAGGAGGGACTTTGGGACTGGACAGAAAATCAGGGCAGGAGGAAATGGGGACGTTGCCAGTGGGACGTTTTCTGGTCTTGCTGGAGGCAGGAGAAAATGACCCGAAAACGGGTGACCCTCACCCTGGCACCCAGCCCCAACCAGGCACCCAAAGGCCCCCCGTGTCCCACCACCGGGCTGGGACCCCCCTGCGCTGTCCCAAGGAGGGACTTTGGGACTGGACAGAAAATCAGGGCAGGAGGAAATGGGGACGTTGCCAGTGGGACGTTTTCTGGTCTTGCTGGAGGCAGGAGAAAATGAAAATTTTCATTTTCCATTGACCTGAAACAGGGTTGTTTTGCCCCAAAATTAGATACTTGCTTTGGGCTACTTCGTGCTTTAAAATAAACAGGTGGGAAGAGAAACCTCTCCGTTGGACATCGAACCTTCTAGCAAAGCAGAAAACATCCCTGTTGGGGTGGCAAGAGGGTGGCCCTGATGGGACACCCCAGGGACAGGGGGTGGCTTCCCCTCGAGGACGGTCCCCAGGGGGTGGGAGGGGGAGCGGAGCCTTACGCTGCCATCGGTGCAGGGCTTCAGGTCCTTCCAGAAGGTCTGCATCTGGGTGAGGTCCACCTTGTTGAGGGGGATGGAGACCTCCCCGATGGGGTCGTTGCGGCTGAAGCGGTCGTAATCCAGGACCTGGAGGTACAGCACCCGCTGCACCACCTTCTCATAGGGGAACCCTGCGCCGGAGATGGGGAGCGGAGCCTTACGCTGCCATCGGTGCAGGGCTTCAGGTCCTTCCAGAAGGTCTGCATCTGGGTGAGGTCCACCTTGTTGAGGGGGATGGAGACCTCCCCGATGGGGTCGTTGCGGCTGAAGCGGTCGTAATCCAGGACCTGGAGGTACAGCACCCGCTGCACCACCTTCTCATAGGGGAACCCTGCGCCGGAGATGGAGAGGATGAGGAGGAGCTGGTGCCACCATGCTGAGTGGCACCCAGTGCTGGCATTGCCCTGCCCTGCTCGTGCCAATGGGGACGTGGTGGCACCAGGCAGTGGATGGGGAACAGACCACAGCACCAGCGGCTGGTGGTGGGTCAAATCCCATGTGTGCACCCACCCATGGGTGTCTCCATGGAGGAAGGAGCCACCCTTCATGTCCCTTTCCTGGGATGCCAACACTTCCAACCTGGCCTTGATGGCTTGGCCCATCATCTCATCATCCATGGCCACCACGTTGGCAGCTTGAGTTGAGCTGCTCCAGCCCAGGAGGGAGGATGGAGGGTCCCACAACTGCTCCGCTCCCCACCCCAGTTCACTCCAGTCCATCCCAGTCCCTACCTTCAAAGAGGAAGGTCTCGTTCCAGTGCGGGTTGAGGTTCTTCCTCTTCACCTTGGTCTCCAGCTTGTGCTTCTTGTCGGGGAGCAGGTAGATCTTGACGAAGGGGTCGCTGGTGCCGCTGAAGTCCTTGGCCGGGCTCCTGCGCCTTCATGATCTTGACGGTCAGGGTGGACTCCTGGAAGTTGTAGCCAACGCTGAACTGGATGCGGCCAAGGTTCTCCCGGCTGACGCCATCGTGACCCTCGTCATCCTCGGAGCCTGGGGACAGCTGCGGCGGGGGGAGATGGGCAGTGAGGGCAGCTCCGGGGGGCCGTCAGGGGACCACCACCGGGTC